CCTTATATTCATATATTATAAAAGACTTATAGAGCCTGAGAGTAATCTCTATTTATCACCAATTATATTATTATTTCTTATTTAAATTACTCATGTATTTTTTAATTACGTATGGTCACGCTCTTGCGCTTAAAGGATGCTATCTCGGAGCGCGGAGAATATATGAATGAAGTTTTTTTTCCTCTCTCTCTCTCTCCTCTCTGTCTCAAGTTCTTGTATATTTTTAATTAAACTTCTGATCTCTCTGATCTCTTGCAAAATCAATATTTATCGCGCGTTCAAGTACACGTTGCGCGCTGCAAGACGTGCCACGGTCAAGGTCGCGATCTACAACTTGCTCGCTTACGATTTCTCATGAGATTTCGAGCGTGTCCTGCCAGAGCCACGCCACACACTTCATGCCCGCGAGTACGTGCGCCCGATCGTATCGCTGATTCTCATTCAAAAAAAGCAAAACCGGGCGCGTATCTCTCGCGCGTCCGACTCGTCGCGCCATCAACGCGCGTATTAAGGGCAGGTGTTCAACAGACCCGAGCGGGTTGACTCTCAAGTAGATCGCGCGCACGCACCTGCTGTCCGGGAGATTTTGCAAGATCTCGCGAGGTGCAGGCGTCGCACAAAGACACCAGCGAAGCGATGAATATTCATGAGACGCGAGCGCGATCTCGGCGAAACACACACATTCGAACAACAAACTTGCTCGACGCGATCGAACTCTCGCGATACGCGCCGCGAGAAAATCGCAACGCGGATTAAAGCGTCCTTTAGCCAACCAAGCGATGGGAAAAAGATAAGAAGTTGCGAGTCGGTTGAATCACGGATATGCACGCGGCAATACGTTCCCCTTAATGCAACTCATTGCGTGTACAGATTTGAAATATGGGTTGAGCGAGCAATGAGAGAGAACGGCGGGGAAGAATTAAAGTCCCATCAACGTCTCGGAAAGCTGCAAGACCGCTTCACCCATAACGGATTGCTTTTACGACAATGAGCAATGTCCACACTGCGTCGGGCAAACACTTCGGTAACGGAGCTTCGGTAACGACCGCAAAAAACTCGACAGAACAAACGGCTGAGAATCGCGCGCGGTCGTTGATATCGATCGAGCGTGTCTTTCCACCGGTTGAGATACACGCGCGAAATAGAGAAAGAGAGAAAAGAGGATTTATTCGTTCTGGGAGTTAAGTATGTCTCGCAAGAAATCCGCGCGGAAGATGCGCGAGATTACAGTTAGCCGCGCGGAAACGACGAGTGTGCGCGCGCGCGCGCTTAGTTGTGAACCGAGTTGTGGTCAACGGTATTTTCTTGTTTTTTTTTTGTTTTTTTTTTTGTCGAAAATTCAACAGATAACTGCGAGAGCAACCACGCGAGTCTCGGTCACGTAATCTTCGCCGGACACTCGTGTGTGACGATATTCCGTTCGCGGTCCCGACGAGATAACGCGCGAATGAGAGGCTGCGGGCGAAGCGACGAGACCTCTCTATTATGCCGGATTGACAATTTCGAAACACACACACACATACACACATGGCAAAACATCGCTATTGAGAAACGCGATACGCGCGACTTCGATTCTTTCCGCTCGACGATAACGGAGAAATGTGATCCAACGTGGCGTGTCGATGCAATTTTCTACGCGATTTCCGCGAGACGTTTGTGAATTCGTTTGTTGTCGACGATAGAATCTTATTTTCCAAGAAACAATCGCGCAACAGCGATCAAATATAGTATCTGAAATTTTAGAACTTCGCGTTTGTTTTTAGACACTACGAAATTATTCATTTTGTTTATCGAGCGCGCACGACGACCGAGCAAAACAAACCGTGATAAAAAAAAAAAACAAACAAATTGAAATTCCGATAAAATATCGAGAAAAGATTGCGACAAAATTGACTCCCGTCTGCTCGGCTCTTTGAGGCTCTCTCGAGTCGAAATAGTCTCCGCGAAGAGAGAGAGAGAGAGAGAGAGAAAAACAGAGAGAAAGAAAGAGAGAGAGAGAGATGTTTGCGCTCCGGGAAGAAATATTCGCTTCAAATCGTCCGGGTGTAAGCGACGTCTTAAAACCGCCGCGAGAAAACGAGAAAACGCGCGAGAGGGAACGCGAGAGAGGGAGGAAACAGAAACGAAATGTCGAAGAGAGGAGAAATGAAAGGAAGGAGCGTGTCGTCGTATCTGGTGCGTGACAGCTGCCGCCGGGCTTGCTCAATCGGGGAAATATCGGGTTTCATCTAAGCGCGAGCACAGATATTTCGAGATGTAAACCGTCGCGCGTGCACACTTATGAGATATTTCGACGCGAGAAACTCGGCACGGTTTGAAATTGATGCGTCCCACACCCCCATCCCTTTCCAACCGCGCCGTCAATTCTCCGGGAGGAGCTTGGCCGGAAGTTGGAAAAGTTCGAAAATGTAAATTGCGCGAGAGGAGAAAGGAAGTTAGGGGGTTGGGTGGGGTGAAACTCGTGAGAGAGAGTCGAGTTCCGTGCGGCAAAGTTGGAGAAGTATGCGCGACTTTATAAGTAATTTAAAATGGAAATGGCCAATTTTACACGGCTGTCAAAAATTTCACGTCTGCAAAAATAAATTGACTTTTTCAAGTTCCTCTCCCAAGTTTTTCTGTCTAAAGGCTACGCGATATGTAGGTGAGTCACCTCGGTACAATTAAGTGCGAAAGAGAGAGAGAGAGAGAGAGAGAGAGAGAGAGAAAAAGAGAAAGAGAAACTGGTTTAACGGACACACTACATCTATCGAACGAAATCCGGAATATAAACCCGAAACCGGCTGCTTGTGCGGATTCTGCGACGTTGAGTGCGCTTTAAAGTGCGCGCCGATCCGTTTAATGTGCACTTAATCGCTTATGGCCACGTTTAGCGCAGCTTCCCATTTACATCACATGTTGCGTAACGTCAATGATAGTTATCGGCTATCAACGTTGACGAGAGAGCGATCGTCCAACGATCGTGTAATGATCATGCGAAAGGCTTGTACGTTCGATTTTTCTCGCGTTCATGAATTATATCCTCTCTCGTATGTAACGAACAGGAAATCGATCGTTATCGACCCGGACAGCTCGCCCTCAATCAAGTTACGGAGCGAGAGGTAACGTTTCTCCTCCTCCTAGGTTACGCTCAGAATAGTCAACCCCGGATGTGTCGCGCCGGCCTGACACGTGACGCACTCGCGTGTACACGTACATGGTCCGACCTAGCACTCGCGAGTGCTACTTCACCGTAGGCGTAGGCGCTAATTTCCTCGGGACACGCCGAAGAATTAATTAAAGAAAAAAAAGAGCAAGTTGAACGACGAGCAAACTGTCGCTAATTATCGCTAATTGCAACCCGGCACCGACCGATATTTCACCTAAGACCTCTCGGGAGTGCAAGGTTTGTTTTTTTACAAGAGCACGTTGTTATCGATATTTTTTTTTCAGTAATGTTTGTTTTACCGATTGATGAAAAATATTTTTGTTACATAAATGAGCTCGCGAAAATTTCAAAATATATAAAAGAGCAGAGCAGAAAAAAATAAAAATATTTTTAAATGAAGATTCTGTAATTACATTCGAAAAACAGTGTTTTGATTCCTGTATATTTCTTCGTACACGGTTTTAACAATGTTTTAGCTACCGAGATAACTGACGTACAATCAACGAAGAAAAACACGTCGTCGTCTCTTCGACGAATCGATTAAGATTAATGACGCGCGCGCACAGCGCGCATGAATCGTCTCAGCCGGAGATAAACTTCGAAATAGACTCTGTGAGTTTTACGAGCGTATGATTCAGCTTTTCTCTCGTTTTCGTTGCACGGTCGCGTAATCCGCGACCGAGAATAATTGAGAGAATCGATCGAGCGAGTGACTCACTTGAGAAATGCGAGACACTCGGAGCGAGTGTCGATTCGCGGAGAGTGTGAACAGAAACACATCGACGTGTCTACAGGCTGAACGTTCAGGAAAAAAAAAATGAAATTACCTGCAACGCGTAACGATCGAGATAGCAGAGTAATCGAGAAACACGCGTATCTCGCAGCTCGCTCGCTGATAAAAGTAATCATCGAAGCCGGAACTTCGTGTCAACAGTGCGCGACGGCATCTTCTCGACCGAAAGATTCTCGCTCGTTAATTCTCAAAAACACTGACCGACGTTGATTTACGTTTCGTTGTGAAAAACAATCAAAACATCACGTATGTAAGCGCGATTGTATTTCGTCCGGGAATAAAATCGAGGTGATTGCTTGCGCAAACTCTGATGACATTACACAAGCAAAACGTGAACTTTATTTACTTTGGTCATCAATATCAAACGTGTAAACCAAACCTCCGAGTGTTTTGAAAACACGTAATTTTTATGTACAATTGTCAGACCGTTTGAAAAACAAAAATATATTAAGCAATTGATAATGTTAAATAAACGCACAGTTTGTACACGGAAGAAAAAAAAAAAAGATCTGCTAAAACTAATTTCTTGCTAGAACGGCAAGAACTTAGTTACATAACCAGCAGGAAAACTTTGCTCAAGCCTGTTGAGTTAATTTTTGTTTCGCCAAACAAACACTCAGTAAATAACCATTTTATTTGCCGGTTATATAACAACAAAACTTTGTTTTCCTCGCATAGTTATAAATTTTAATTCCGTAAATCCCCGAAGTTGTTGTCCGAGCGATTTTTTGAAAATGAGATGTTTCTCGGTATATTTTTTAAAGGACGGAAAAAATAAAAAAAACAAAATGTCAAAACTTGTTGTTTCCTTAATGTTGAATAAAGTGAACTTTTACAGATTTCTTGCAACGTTTTCAACTAATGAAAAATCGCAAAATCGGACACAAACGTCAGCGTGCAAGATTAGTTAAAATTTACATTAAAAAAAAAAAAAAACGAAATAAAATTAAAACGTACACCGCGCGATTGAAACTTAAATTGCCGTCAGATTCGAAAACAAAAATAATTTTGATGTGCGAAAATAAACAAAATTCGCAGAAAAATTAATCACCACAGACTCACCAGTTCCTTATCCTTCTCGGTGGCTTCATCCTTATCTTTTTCTTTGTCCTCGGCAGTTTCTGTGTGCGGTGCTATGCCGTTGGTGGTGGGTTTCGTGTCGGCCTCCTCGATCCTCTCGAGTTTGCCATCGCCAGGTGCGGCCGCGTCGCCGACGCCACCTTCGGCAGGTACTCCCTCCTTCTTCGGCGTCGTCGTTATGTCCACGGACCTTTTACTCTGTCTCGCTCCCATGATTGCTTCTTATCTGTCTCTCGTGCCACCTGTCTTTATCTCACGTGTCGCGTCTGGGGTACCAGGTGGTGTCCAAGCTAAAACTGGTGTCCTGCAATCAGAAGCGCATATTTTAAACATATCCGTCGAATGAAATCAACACACGCGATCTGAAAACCCGCGCGCTACCTAATTCGGGATCGAATAAAGAGCGAAAGCGAGCGAGGGAAGTGAGAGCAAATCTCATTTCGTACGAGAGATGGAATTTTATGCAGTTACACACACACACACATACACGTGTCGATTCTCGTCGGCGGTTTCGCGATGCCGGATAGCATCGGTTTGTTCGCGACGCGCGGGTGAATTACTGCAACTCACGACGTTGCAGTAATAAGGCGCGGAAAGGCACGACTTTCACCGTAACGCGAGATATGTCAGAGATCCGCGAGAGAACACTCTCCTCTCCTCCCCGCGGCTCCGAACTCGTCGATCCGACGTGCGGGAATCCGCGTCGTATAACACAAGGACAAAGCGAGAATCGAAAACCTCGTTGTCGATAAATCGAAACGAAAATCGCGCGACGGTCACCTGCTCTCTGGATTAATCCGATAAAAGCCGAGAGATTTATGCGCTTATCGACACGCGGCCGCGCCCCTCGATAGCGCTTTCGCGCGAATCAACACGCAGGTGCGAACGAAGGAATGTCGCGCGCGTGTCGATAATTTCGCTCTCGCCCAGAAAAAAAAAATTAGAAAAAAAAAAAAAAAAAAAAAAAAAAAAAAAAAAAAAAAAAAAACCACTGTCTCTCTTTCTCCGCGACTTCTCGTATACGCGGCAGCGAAATGAGCGATAATGAACCGCACCGAAAGACACAGTTCGCGAAAACAAAGAACAACAGCAGAACGAGGAACGTTCTTTCATCGGGGGGAAACAAGTAGGCATTGTCCTCTGTTCAAGGTTTCACTTGTATTCATTTCTAGTATGCGTACGCGTGTGTGTGTGTGTTTAGATGAAAAACACAGCGCGGAAAATCCGCGGTAAACCGCCGCGTGAAGAGAGCACTTCTTCTGTCGACAAAATCGAAGTTATTACTTTTTGTTTTGTTTTGTCATACAAGCCGCACGTGTCGCGTGCTGTTTTGTTGTTTCGCACAAATATATCAAACGCGCTGTTGTCACTCGAGAGCGAACACTCGACTTGATACTTTTCGAACTTATTATCTCACGAGAACATCGTTCTTTTAAACACGGAGATTGTCAATCGACCAAAAAAAAAAAAACAGAGACGGTCCTTCGCCGATTGTCGCGCGCTTCGTTTTAAAAAAACGCTCCCGACGAGAGAACAAACGCGCACGTCGTCGCGGCGGCTCTCTAATTGTTCTCGGAAAAAAAAAAAAAAAAAAACAAACCGGCGGAGTTAGAAGCTAGTCGGTTCTCGGAGCGAACGAGGTGGGTAACGGTACGAGTAGGTACGACGCGGCGCGTTGCGCTGGTAACGAAAGCGGAAACGCGCGGGAGAACGGCAGCGAAAAACTGGCACGGCGTGGCGAGGCGCACTAAAAGCTTAGAAACTGCTCGTTTGTTGAGCGCGCGTTAACGCGCATTTAAACGAACCACGTGGCTCGCACGCACGCGAACAGTAGCGACCGCGGCGTGCATGCGTGCGTGCGTGAGCAGCTGACGGCCGCGATGCGTAACGACGCGTCTGTACTCCGCGAAGTGCAGACTAGACGAGGTCGTCCTTTGTGCGCTCCGGTTTTGAGGAGAAAAATCGAGGAAGAGAAAACGAGAGAGTTGCCGAGATTCTTCCGCGAATAAAATCCCAAAGACGAATAAACTTACACACACACGTGCTACAAACTTCTCATCCGTCTCTTGAAAAGCTATTTTAGAGCTTGGAACAGATCGTTATGATATTATTTTAATGGATATAATTTTGAGTCTCTGTTATTTCGCCTATTCACAAACCTCGGTTGGAAAAATAAGTATATTATAAGTAAAAATAAGTATATTATATAAATTCTCTCTCAATTCAGGAAAATTCTTATGTAACACAAATGTATTCTTGAAATATCATAAGTTTTCTCAATTCAGGAAACTTCAATTGTACAATTAATCTTTTCAAAGAAAATATATTCTAGAAAAGACGCATTATCGCTTGAATCTATTTTTTTAAATTATTTCGTCTATTCAAAACTCGCGGAGAAAAATAAGAATATATATAAATTTTTACAATTTAGAAAAATTCTTGAATCAATTCCAATTGTTTCTCTTTTTAAAGAAAATATTATCTAGAAAAGATCACCGCGTTATCGCTCGCGTCTACTTTTTCTCGACAAATTTTTGTTCGACTATGTATTTACAGATTTGTATGATATGATCGCGATAATGACGCGTATATATGTATAAAGCTATTTGCACCTCACGGAATAATATCAATTCGCTGTACATAACACTATGGCAGAGATAAGAAAGTAAACATACACGAACACGTTCTATCTATGTAAGTTAAACAGATAAAACATCTCGTTTCTGGTTTCGTTTTCCTCATCAGTTAAAAATGTTAAAAACGCTCACGTTGCGCGCCTGTAATAAATACGTGTATAAACCAGCTCATAACCCGTATGTATCTAATGATCAGAGCGATTCTCCACTCTTCGTTAATGTTTAAAGATGAAATCGATAACCTCTCCGTATAAGTCGGAGAGTAACTCTCTTATCAGCATCGGACATAAGCGACTCTTGCGACATGACGACGGCGTTTTATTTTGTTCGTGACATTTCGCTTTTATACTCGCGTTATATTTATCTCTGTGCTCGCGTTTTATTCATAAATACCCGTTTGTTAACCCACTTCGATCCGACGCGGAAACACGCGGACGGGGAGAAAGAGAGAATGCCAGTATACCGATAATCTCAGCGCGTATCTTCGCGCGCATTCCGCGAATTTTCATTGAAAAAAAAAAAAAAAAAAAAAAAAAAACAACTCCCATTTAATAAAGCGATCTCGTATCGCGCAAGCGGAATTAGTTTTCTGCTTTCTAGAAGCGGTTCGTTTTCCCGAATGAACGCGCGCGTTTTTTCTGCACGTTGCGATCGTATTATCGAGCTGTGGGAGGAGAGGAGGAAAGAATCGAGTTACGCCAGACGAATGAAAGTCGTCGGCGAGCGAACGACTATTACGTTCAACGTTTAATTGAGCGCGCGAACACGGAACGTAAGTTGACACTCTTTGGTGTAGTGTCGTTTTCGCGAAAACAAAACCGCCGCGCCGCGCCGCGCGTGAATGCGCGCCAAGTCGGAACCGCGGCGGACTATGCGCGCACACACTGTATGTATCACACTGTCACCGCATAATGGCATTTTGTTTTCTAGACAGGCCTATTCACGGTGCATTGCACTTTGCGTGCCGCTGCTCGCGTACACCGCTCGCGCGGCTCGCTCGCGACTCGGCCGCGTGCGCGTATCACGCTCGGAAACGCGACGACACACAATGTTGTCACATCCACACGACACAATTCTCCCTCCCCCACCCCATCCCCCCATGTGTGTCGAGAGCGCGCGGCTTCGCTCGTGATTTCTGTACACAGTCGGTCGCGTTTTCCGATAACGAGATCCGACAATACGCGCACGAAGTAACTCGAGCAAAATACAAAGACCGAGGAAGATGTTGGATTATCGTCTGCATCGGAAAGCCAGTCTCTCTTCTCTTTACCCTCCTTCCCCTGCTCTACCCAAGCTCTCGTACGAGATTCTCTCGTACGTAGAGAGAGAACTGTAAGTAGATAACAATCCTCCTCTCGAAATAAATTGTCTCCGCCGATGGGCAGACTTGTACAATAGAAGCTATTACACCGACTCGGTTCCAGAAATAATAGAAGGGGAAGGGGCAGAGAGGGCACAATGGCGCCCCTGTGGACTAACGAGTGCCCCTTCCGCGTCTCCCGCGACTAAATTTTCAGAACAAACGCGTGCGACACACAAATGCAGTTCCGCACAAAAGAGACGACGTTATCCCGAAGCTTCGTTCCGCTTCGTTTCGATTTTATGCCCGGATTATCGAATTAGCGGAAAAATAAGGGAACCTAATTCGCAACTTCATCGCGCAAAAGGGCAACGTCCTCCCTTCGGGAAGAGAATCGCGAGGCGACGACGCGAAAAACACGTCGTGAGAACGCATAATTAATTGATCTGTGAATCTTAAAAAAAAAAAAAAAAATTATGCGCGCGTCGAGCTGCGCGGCGAGGCACTTCCCGAATGTTTCGTACACGCATCGTCGCGATGAAAATAGAAGAGAAATATAATTAGCGCTCGCGCTATTAGGTAGCGGCGCAAGAAGAGAGGTTCGACAAATATTTACGATATTTGTCATCGTATATCTCTAAGCGCGCGCGAGTGTATGCGCACCACGTGGAGATTCTCTCTCGCGCGTTCCGTGTGACGCGTCGGCGTCGTTACGGTGAGAAATGGCCCGCTCGACAAGTGCCGCGGCTGATCGCACATGTGACGGTCTATGAAGGGGAGAAAAAAACGTGGGAAATTGTGGAAAACCTCGTCTCGGGGAAATCCCCCTAGCTTATTTTTTTTTTTTTTTTTTTCACACACAAGGATGTACGCTTCTCTTCCTCGCGCTATCGACTCTCCGTTCTAACGGAATCGCGAATATTTCCGGTCGCGCGCGCAGGAAGGTCACATCGCGCGCGTATCGCGCATCAACGTTGTTATTTTTAGAAGCGTCGCGTATATAGTCGCGGGTGACATCGCTCGGTTCTGCATCGTCGAGATAAACGAACACGCATTTCTCTCGAAAGAACAAAAACGCCGCGCCGCTTTAAAAGAAAAACGACGAGCGTGTATGTGTAGTATACACACTCTCGTTTGAAGTTCTCTCTCGGTTCGAAGTCCCGCGCGATAAAAATAGTCTCGCGCGCGTATATAGAGAAAGGAAATTGCTCGGTCGAAGAAAGAGATACGGGGGGGAGGGGTTCCGAGCCGATCCGTCCGCGAGAGAGAAGAGGTTGATGTGTTGCAATAGAGCATCTCGCGCACATTCCGTTGCTATTTGTTTTTCTTCGTTCTTCAAATCTATCTTTCCTCCTCCCTCTCTCTCTC